TCCTCAAGGTTGTGAGGTCTGTTGGAAACTAGAAAAGTGGGGTTTATATATCTATGGAAAGTCCAGGGTGGGAGAAAGAACTCTTGTCTGTTGGAGCTAGGTGTGAATGTTTCAATTGGCCACCTTGATTAGCATTTAATAGCCTGCAGTTTCAAGGTGTGGCTTCTACTGCCTGGGGGAATCCTTTGTTGGGAGGTGATTAGCTGTCCCTGATTGTTTGTTCTCTGGTGTTCCCCTGTGTTTGAGTGTTGTTTTACTGTTATAATTTAGACTTTTTAATACTGGTAGTCAGATTTGGTTCATTTTCATGATTTCCTCCTTTCTGTTGAAATTGTCTACATACTTATGGATTTCAATGGCTTCTCTGTGTAGCCTAACATGGTGATTGTTGGAGTGGTCCAGCATTTCTGTGATCTCAAATAATATGTCCAGGTTGTTTCATCAGGTGCTCTGCTATGGCTGACTTTTCTGGTTGAAATAGTGCCTTTCATGTTCCTTGATTCGTGTTTGGGCAATGCTGCATTTGGTGGTCCCTATGTAGACTATGTAGACTAGTTTTTGTTTCTGCCTACAAGTTTGTTAATGCATACCAAAGCACATGTCTGTCTACACTTCGTGCCACCAAAACAGAGCACCATTCCATAGAGATGACTGCTATAGAAAACCTCTCTGAACTCCCAGAACATGACTCTTCATATAGCGGTCAGTGGGGACAGTATGGTGGGGTCCTACGGATCAGAGAACGGTTTTTAGAAATCTCATGGACATCCTTTGTCGAAACCTCCATTTCTTCTTTTCAACTTTGTGCCTCTGTGCTCTCTCCTGCCTTGCTCCCTTGCCTGCCCTTCGTCAGGGAAAGGAGGTGCTATTGAGAATCAAGCTTCTCATGCAGAGAAATGTCAAGCAAAGTAGACAATTAAACCTATTCTGTTCCTGTAGCAGTGGGAAACATAAAAAGGCTGATCCCTTTTGAAATAAAAAGGTACAATATCCTGAAAGTGCACCCGATGAGAGGAGCTTCTCACAATACAGTTTGGCACTCGTTAAATTTTGTATCGCTGTCATCTCCTCTGTTTTAAGCTTCACCTTGCTGGAAAGGTGCACAGTGAATAGTTTGACCAGCTTGAATCTAGCTTTTTTGGATATTTTTTAAATACCTTTCTTCAGGGAAAGGTTTCACTTTTCCCCACATTAAAAAGATGTGCTTAAAACATTTAAGATAAAACTTTTAAAGAAGTACCAAAAAGGTACAAAATTGAAGTTACTCTATAGACTCATGTATTGTAAGTCTAGAAATGTTAGTCAAAAAATCAGCCCTAAAAATCTGGTTCAATTTATTCATGGGTCAGTGTGGGGAGATGACCTTAATTCTAATATATATGAAAAGAACCACCTCCTTCTCTGAGTTGAGTGGTGAAAGGCAAGGTTGAGGAGAACCTCAAAGAAGCACTGACTCCCACTGCTCTCTCCATTGTAGCAACACATCTGTCCTTCTCAAATGCCTGGGCAAGAAAATAATGGCAGCACTGAGGCGGTATTGGTGCTTTCCCCTCCCCATAGATGACACTGTATATATATGAGTACATAAAGTAAATGCCATTCTGTGGGTATGTTCCTAGTCTATTGCTGTCTTCTCATGTTCGCTCTCTTTTGGGTTATGGAAAGTGTTTCCTTCTTTTTTCATTAAAAAAAGTCTTTTGGCTGGTATTCCAGAATACATTTTAATACAGCATTCCTCAACCTTGGAGTTGTGAACCCAGGCTGGGGGGAGGTGTCATGGGGGTTTCAGAGGGGTCACCAAACACCATCAGAGAACATATTTCTGGTGGTCTTAGGAACCCCTTTGGCAGAGAAGGCTGAAGTTCTCCCTGCCTGACCTTCTCTTTCTTTTTGGAAACAGATGGTGAATCATCCCTCCAAAAGCCCTCTTCCTCTGTGATTGGTCAGCGTCTCAGCCAGCTTCTCAGCCAAGGGGAGGGCTGTTTCTGAGACTCCAAGCAGGGAGGGGAGAGCAGGCGTGCTCGACACATGGTAGTTTTGTGCACATGTATAGGCAAAGGAGAGCGTGCGAGGCTGTAGGGAGGCTTGTGCCAGCGAGTCCCTTCTAGGCATGGGGTCCTATGTGGGAAGTTTGGCCCAATTCTATCATTTGTGGGGTTCAGAATGCTCTTCGATTATAGGTAAACTATAAATCCCAGCAACTACAACTCCCAAATGTCAAGATCTTTTTTGCCCAAACTCCACCAGTGTTCACATTTGGGCATATTGAGTATCTGTGCCAAGTTTGGTCCATCATTGTTTGAGTCCACATTGCTCTCTGAATGCAGGTGAACTAGAACTCCAAATCAGGTATTTGTGCCAAATTTGGTCCAGTGAATGAAAATACATGCTGCATATCAGATATTTACATTTCAATTCATAACAGTAGCAAAATTACAGTTATGAAGTAGCAATGAAAATAATTTTATGGTTGGGGGTCACCACAACATGAGGAACTGTATTAAGGGGTTGCAGTATTAGGAAAGTTGACAATTACTGGGCTAGAGGCTGCTACCGGGGGGGGGGGGGGATGGATGGACGGACGGACAGGAAGGTCTGCTCCTGTTAGCCCAGCTGCATGTGCCTGAATCTGTAGCCAAGCTTGATCCCCTACATATTTTCACTGTGTCCACTAAACCTGTTATTGCTGGTCTGTTTTATTCCATTGCGGTTTTGCAATTGGTGTTATTAAGAGAATGCTTTATTTAAAAGATTTGTTTGCAAACAAATGGCGTGTTAGTATAAAATGTTTTAGGAAGATGGGGAGTTCTCTGTATTAAATCTCCATTGTGGTCAGGCATGCCCAACTCTGAACTCTGGGGCCTGGGAAGAGGGAGTGACTTGTCAATGAGGAGAAAAGCGTTTGTGCATGATCACTTAATTAATTGGGAAACCAAGCACTTTCTCCTTTTCGGAGTTCCAGCACCAACTGAAGTGGCATTTAAACCTAGGAAAATTAGGAGTGCATTCACGTTATAATGTGGATGGATGAACGAATGGTTTATTATACCAGCCATAGGCCATGACATCACATAATATACAACCTTTAAAAAGATAAAACAATAAATACAACCAGCACTTTCCAAGATAAATATTAAAACTTAATATTATGTTCTGAGGGCTTAGTAGCCCTTAGAAAAGCATTTATAGCCCTGCGCTTTCAGACAATGCTATCAGGCTGGCTAGAGGGAAGATATAGAGGGATCCCTCATGCCCAATGACTTCGTATTTGTGGGTCCGGGGAAAGAGAGGATGTAATTCACCGGTGGTTCCCAACCTGTGGGTCTCCAGGTGTTTTGACCTACAACTCCCAGAAATCCCAGCCAGTTTACCAGTTGTTAGGATTTCTGGGAGTTGAAGGCCAAAACATCTGGGGACCCACAGGTTGAGAACTGCTGTAATACACTATCTGTTACATTGCCCTGTGTATAGTGACCCTCGAAACAATATTCTGGGAGTCCTTTTGGAAGAAAGGGCAGCGTGGCACCAGTCAGTAGTTCTCTGTAATCTGTTAGCAGATCATTCCAAAAATATAATGTTGTAGTATGTGTTTCTGCATGGAATTATTTAAGAAGATTTAGTGAGAAAATATATTGCCAAAAGTTAGTTCTTCATAGTTGTGTGTGTGCATATTCTAATGGATACAACTGAAAGCAGTACAGAAGATATAATCCTTTGGAGACCTTGAACCAGGTGTGAGGAAAAATGTGGACCATAAATACCGCAAACTGTTGGAGTACCAACATCCATTAGCTCTAGCTAACACAGATATTAGGAACGAATGATTGGGCACCTTGTTCAATACAATCTGAAGGGTCATATATTCCTGATTTCTCGTTTAAACCATCCATGCTTTTGGAAATTCTGATTATAGTATTAGTACCATTAATCTAATGATTATTAATATTGGAACAACCAGTACAATTTTCATTTGTCTAAAAGGCCTGCAAGACACTAAAATGTTCCCAATTTGAGTTATGAAAGAAGAACTAGGGGGGGTATACATATGGTGCAATTTATCATGTTTGGTAAACTAGAAGCACATTTTGGAATATGGGAACTCCTCTGCATTTGAAGATGCCGCTCCTTCCCAAACTTTATGGATTCACAACCAATGCTTATCTGTTATAAGGCAGAGCAGCTTCTGTTTAAACCCACAGGTATCAATTTGCATGGAAATAATATTTTTAAGACCTAAAAACATGGTTGTTCAAAGGTGCCTTGGATTAATTAGTTCACTAAATGAATTGGCCCTCCTAGCTATAACTTCCTTCTCGACTCGTGCACTTTACTATTGTCCCTACCCTGGAGTTGTTCTGTATTACTCTGACTTGGCCCTTTCAGCCATAACTTATTATCTACCTCTCGCAATTTGCCATCAGCCCTTTATCCTGGCAGTTATATTGCACAAGGCTTCCCTCGCCCCTTATGTTCGGCTACTGGTTGTTGTATGATGAATGATGTTTTAATTATGTTTTTATGATGTTGTTATATGTATTTTTACTGTGTTATATTCTAACTTTGTCTGACTGGGCTTGGTCCCTATGTAAGCCGCCCCGAGTCCCCCCAGATAATAGTGGCGGGAAGATGAGTCCACAGCAAACAAGATCACTCTGCTGGCTGTTGTATTGGATCACACGTTGGACACTTCCCAAGTGTCTAGGACTGTGTGATGTATCAGCGAATAATGCATGCAGGTCCCAGTATGGTGGCTTTTTGCAGCTGACAGATGGTAATTTAGTCAGCACCAATTGTGTTTAAGTGCTAGCCAAGATCTATAGGTACTGCACCCAGTGTGCCGATCACCATTGGGACCACCTTGACTGGCTTGTGCCAGAGTCTTTGCAGTTCGATTTTTAAATCCTCATATTGTTTTAGCTTTTCCAGTTGTTTCTCTTCATCATTATTATTATGTCCTTGTTTTAACGCTTGTCCTGACTTTTCCCCCTATTTTTTTCCAGCTTGTTAGCGATTTGTTGGAATTCTGTTTCTACACCTTCCGAGAGTCACAAGCCCTGAAAGTGGAGTTTCCAGCCATGTTGGTAGAAATTATCAGTGACCAGTTGCCCAAAGTGGAATCTGGGAATGCCAAGCCCCTCTACTTCCACAGGAAGTGACTGAAAATGTCTTAATGGGAGAAAAAAGAACTTTGCCTTAAGTTTCCCTGTGCTATTCCACATCCTTGAAGGACCCAAGAAACCACCTTTGAAATATGCTGTACAAAATTGTTCAAGAATTTGAATGGTCTGGAAATCATAGGAAGGGTTTGGAGGACAGAAGAACATCTTATCTGAACTTGGTGAGACAAAGTCGTAACGATATTTTGAGAACCATTGCCCTGAACCCCCAACATGTAGACAAAAACGATCCTGTTCCTCTGGATGAAAAGCCATATCTAGTCAAATAACTCTTTGATTTTGATATTATAAGAAATGAACATTTTAAATATGCCATGTAGTTTCTGGTATTGTTTGCTTGTTTTCAAAGGGTTCAAGGACTAATATGAACTTTTTAAAAGCTTACCATTGGTTTGCACATAAAACAAAAGTAAATATGGGGCATTAATTCTTGTACTATACATACACACACACATAAACACACAGATCCCTGGATGTGTAAAATATAATGGAGCGTTTGATGTGGAATAATCTTGGTATATTCGCCTGCGGCATTTGTTATCCCATTTTATCCATCATAGATGAACTACACTGTGTTAAGTGTTCATTTATTATTTAACTTGAAAGGATAAGATGTTAAAACAAATGCCACAGTTAAAATTTATAGTATATATTGTGCTGGCTTTACCAATAATTTTTGCAGTCTTTTGCTGTACTGTACATTGCTGTATGTATAAATTGAAGGACCTGAAAAAAAAATGGTATAAGGAACTTTTGTAAATGAGACCTAAAAATCTTTAATGGTTAATAGGATGAACGGGAAGAGTATTTTTGGAAGAATTCTATTTTGCTGGAGACTATTTAATTACTCTTTTTGTCTAAACACAAGGTAATTTTTTTTTGTAAAGTGAATTGTTCTGCATGCATAATGAACCGTTTACAGTGTATTTAAGAAAGGGAAAGCTGTGCCTTTTTAGTATCATATCTAATTTACCAACTGACAGTCTGTTGTAAATAACCACCCATAACCATTTTCAGTTGAACCTCTCCTTTTCTGTCCGTTTTCATCTATGTCCTTTTTCTGATTCTGTTTTTATCTGTTGCTTTTACTATTTTAGCACATTTGAGTTCTGTTTTATGCCTCGGAACTTGAAAAATGTAACTTTTTTAAAGCTCTGTCCATGCCTCTAGCTACGTTTCCAAGCTTTATGCACATTTCACCTATCAAGAAAAATTACAGAGAGTTCAATCCTCCAAGATGTTGCCCTGTAGAAATCACACTGGGGTAAATGAAGCTGTGAAAGCAGATGGCTGTCCATTTATTTCAGTGGTACTTGGTCCAGACAACTTTCTGGTGAATTGTATTCAGAATCTCCTGAAAGATGAGTCAGCCCCATAATGAAGTGAGATTTCAGCTGCCAACCTGTTCAATTCAGAAGCTACAATCCAGCACACATAAGCTAAAGCCCCATACTCACCGTACTGGGAGTTAACCTAAGCAAACTTGGATCTTACATTTGAGTACTGTATATGGGACTTAATGTTGCAACTTTCTATGTCCCTGCTTTTTGGACAGCAGAGAAAGCTAAAAATCTGTGCCCCTCTCTTTCTTTTTAATCTGGAATGTATGTGAACCACAAAAAAGTGAATTATTAATATGAACTATAGATCTGAATGTGGAAGTTTGAGAAAAAAACAGGCAAATTTGTCATTGTATAATAAGTGTGGAAAAGAAGAGTACTACAGTACTGACAAACTTGGAGAAAATAATTTGGAGACAAATTTGTATGAAGGTTACGTTCTATTGATTTCAAAACAATTTCCATGTAACTATGCCTTGGATTGCCATCTTGGCTAGTAAGCCAAAGAACATTCTGAAAACAGTCCTTACATACAACAAATACTGCCAGGAGCCTTGAAATATGGATTTCTCTAAAAGTTATCATAGGTAAAGGTTTCCCCTGACATTAGGGTCTAGTCGTGCCTGACTCTGGGGGGTGGTGCTCATCTCCATTTCTAGGCTGAAGAGCCGGTGTTGTCCGTAGACACCTCCATAGACTGCATGGAGTACTGTTATCTTCCAACTGAAGTGGTACCTATTGATCTACTCCATTTGCATGTTTTCAAACTGCTAGGTTGGCGGAAGCTGGGTCTAACAGCAGAAGCTCATCCCGCTCCCCGGATTTGAACTGCTGACCTTTCGGTCAGTAAGTTCAGCAGCTCAGTGATTTTACCTGCTGCGCCATCATTATAAAATGATAATTAGAAAAAACAGAATTATATAAACAATATGAACACCAGAGTATAAATTATAAAGTATTTTCCTATGACCTTTGAAATATTAAATACAAATATAAAGAGGATTATTGTCCAAGCTAAAATTTGCATATTTTCAAGAAAATTGATACGTATTGAAAACCGAAGTTGGAATTCAAATACATTTAGTCAAGGTATAAGCATAGATGGAGCAGAATGAAGAACACCACCTCCCGGGCCAAACACAAGACCCCCCTTTGACATATCATAAATGCTTTTGGAAAGAGGTTTAAAAAAACAGTTTTCTGTACACCATGGAGACTCAAGAAATAAGTTTTTTGGATCCTGAGTTCTCTGTAATCACAATGCATTCAAGTTTCTTAAATGTGAATGTGTGTTTCCATCTACTTTAGATAAAAACATGACCACTTGTCTTTTAAAATCACAGATCTCATTAAATCAAAAATCTGTATAAGGGTATACTTAAACAAAATCAATATTTAAAATTACGGAAGGATACAATGGGTGGGATCTTGACAAACCAAATTGAACCTAGTCCAGTGGATCTTAAGTCATGGCTATCTTGTCACACTGATTTCCACTTAGTTTTGATCCAACCTGTTGTATACATGTATTGTTGAAGGCTTTCATGGCCGGAATCACTGGATTGTTGTAAGTTTTTTTGAGTTGTATGGCCATGTTCGAGAAGCATTCTCTCCTGAAGTTTTACCTGCATCTATGGCAGGCATCCTCAGAGGTTGTGAGAATGCCTGCCATAGATGCAGGTGAAACACCAGGAGAGAATGCTTCTAGAACATAGTCATACAGCCCGAAAAACTTACAACAACCTATTGTATACAGTTTTGGAAATCTAACAAAAACATCAGCTCCTTTGATCTGCACAGCAACATGAAAGCTGCACTTGTAAAGTGGAAAAAAAATACACAGCATGCAGAGTGGTTGTTTATAAAGTGGTTACAAATCTCTCTTTCATTTGCTTTTTTAAAAAAATACCAAAATTGGAATTTCAAATTATCCAGGTTTGTGGTAAATGCAGTATGCTGGTTTTTTTTATTAACAAGGTTACATTTTTTCTATCTCTTAGTAACTTTGCCTGATTAAAATATTAAAGCCATATTCTTTTTTTAAAAAAAATATGTCCACTGTTAGATGTCTGTCACGATTCACTGTGTTGTCTGATTGCTCTGATTTCCGTACTTTATTGCATTTAATCTTGGTTTGGTAAAATTCATAATTCACAGAAATGTCATACGTACAACACTAAATTAGTTTTAAAATAATTTATATCTTTATGCAAAATATATGTCTGTCTTTGCAAACAATTGTAAGCAGATTATAATAAACCCTTTCCTTTAATCACCTGTTTTATGAAACCATTGATTATTACTTAGAAATCACTGAAATGAAATTTTAATGAACAAAGAAAGTATCAGGAGTACATTGTACTTTAGAAGGAAATCGGCATCTGTCTCCTGCAAAATAAGATAAAAAAACATCGATATGTCAAAATGGTAAATTGTGTTGATTGAGTGTAATGATTTTATGGCAATGACTGAATGAAGATATACAGCAAAAATATTGTATTCATAAGTTTCAAAATGTAAAATAGTTTTAATTTACTGCAGTGGGTATTTCAAGAATAATATTGCATTGCAGTGTGTAACCACTTTGTTGCACAGAACAAAACTGAAAAAGGACTAAAAGCTTGCAATATCAAAATCTTAATAAAATATACTTTATAATCAATAATGCAAAAATCTAATTCACAGGGTGGTATTTTCACTGACTTTTTAAAACATTTATGAATTTGAATCGTTCTACATTTAATGCACTTTTAACTGTCTATTAAAAATGTGATATTTTTGTTAGCGGGAAGGAGAGGGGAAGGGTTGGATCCAATCTCATCTTGTAGGTGAATGGCCTGATAGGCAGCCATGATCATGTCAGGATATTCAGAGAAACGTTTCGGAGTTGTGGAGGGGAAAAGCACCTTCACTGGGAACTTAGTACTTGTACAGGAGGAGTTCTTGGTGCATTGTGTCCTAATTATATTACTGGATGAAAAATAAAAAAAGCAGCTGGCACTATGGTGTAAACAACAACATCTATGCATAATGATGCATTAATAATTAGGGGCTTGCTTCTGTATGTTTAACTTTTTGAATAAATAGAAAATTACTGTTTGGCCTTTATGTTAATGTCTTTACATACATAATTTTTATAAGCGATACAAATATACACAAATTAAAATGGTGTGATTACAGGTATTCATTGTGCTTTGATATCAATCGCATTAATTTGATGCTGCATCTGTTTCTTTGGAGAGATGCTCTTAACTGAAACACATTAGGCACATGATGGAGTTTTATATAATGATTCTATTTCCTACTTCTCTACCTTTTTGCCTTGTAGTAAATAGGATTGTGATGATAAACCGTTTCATTTGGTTCCAGTGCACATTAATTTCACTTAAATGTTTAATAGGTAATGATTCAACATCTTTGGTGCCTAATTATATCAAATATAGAACATCAGGATTGCAATCCTATATCCACTAATCTGGAAGTATATGTCACTAAATTTTATGGCACTTACTTCTAAACAGACCTGTATAGGATTCCATTGTTAAGTAGAGTAACAAACATCTGACTTAACAAACAACTCATAGAATGGGGATGAGATAACAAGAAGTGAGAGAAATCTACTCCCAGGAAAGGAAATTCACTCCTGAAACAGTTATTGGGGGAAAGGGGGTCTCAATTGAAACTTTATTACCAAGCTTCGTTTCCACAACAAGCCATATTTTTCAAACTCCAATTCTCACAGGGACAGAAAGTGAGATGAAATCTTCTGAACAATGGCAGAGACAGCAAAACAAACACCACAAGGGTGTTAACCCTTCCCTATGCTATCGAGACCACACACACACACACGTATAAATATATATAGCCCGAAAAATCCTACAACAACCCATATGAAGTTACTGTTAAAAATGTACCTGTTCTGACATACAAACAAGTTTAACTTAAGAACAAACATACAGAACCTATCTTGTTTGTAACTTGGGGACTGCCTGTATTGCATTTCCTCTTTTACACCAGATGGCTAATTTATCCAAAGATAGCTGCTCTGACACGTCATACTTGCAGAAAATGACATGCTTCTCAATATGCGTTGGGGATGGGAATGTTTTAGGATACGAACACGACTGAACACTGTAGGGGCTTGCCTCTTGAAAAATATCCATATAGTTGACCACTGTGAAGACACTAAGGAATCACTAAACCAGGCCCATGAGAAATATAATAAGATGCACCATTACAGAACGGAAGGCACAATGAATATGTAACTATGAAATTCAACAACTATCTACTTTCAAAGACATTTTAACCATGTTCATTCAGAATATTTTTCAGAAAGGCTTGAAGACCAAGAAATACAGAAGCTTCATCATACATAATGTGTTTGTGCCTTGACCTCATAGTGATGGTGGTGGAAAAGTGATTTTTCACCTTCATATGGAGGTTTTTGATGTTAGAACCATCTGTTTTTTGAAAGAGGCAAGAGAACTCATGAAACCCTTCCATGTGATATCAAAGCTACATGTACGTTGAGAGAAATCCACTGTTTATAACTGGGAAGATGCACATTATAATGATATCGAGGACTTGCCAACTACGAGCATCCCACTGAATATCCACGAACACAAACTGGCCTGAATTCTGTTTCTAGTCCTAAATAGAGTAGATCCATTTACTCGCCAGGATTTACCAGCATGCTGACTCAAATCTGAGTGAATTGGTTGAGGTTAACAAACCAGATTCCAGTCACTGTGTATGTACAACCCGGGGGGCAGGGGAGGGGGAAATCACAATTGAGAACCAAGTAGCCCATGTTGAAGGGGAGGAATGTTATGTGTTTACTTATCCATCACCAATGAAATTCCTTAGGCTGTCAGTTTGGGAATAACTATAACATGATGTCCTAGCAGCATAGGCAGTAGCAAGAGAAAATGGGAATTGATTGTCAAATGCACCACATCACTTTTTGGCGTATGCCTAAATGTCAGCTAGTTCTATTGATGAGGAAAGGCTATGCTCAGGGACAATGCAGGAATAGGGGACTCAATGCAGTTCTGCCCCAAGATTATTCCTGTGTTTCTATCTAATTGCTCTTTAATGCTGAGAACCAACTATGCTTCTATCTGAATAAACTGGTCAGGTTAAACTTCACCCTTTGTGGCACTGTGAAAGGAGATGCATGTCTCTGGGTTCCTCCACATAATTTGGACTCTTATGTGATCAGGGTTATGTTTTTATGGCAGAGGATAGCCAGTATAACTGCTCTCTCATATGCACTGGATGTTCAGAGAGGGACAGTGGCCACGCCACACATTCGTTTTACTGGGGCAGGGATGAGTTTAATGCCTTACTGTATCTATACTCTTTCTCCCTGCAACAGTTGGAAAAGAAGACAACCTGATTTCCATTACATTATTCCACAGGCATCTGGGCTGTTTTTGGTCACATTTCCAAGCAGCTTGATGATCTCCCAAGTAGAATCACCTTAAAGCTATCTGGCAAAGATTATAGCCTCAGACACAAAGAACTATATTAATGCCCCACAGCCTGGGTGAGTTCCAGCTGGACCAGGGAAATAGCACTAGTTTGGATCACAACTGCACCATCTGGAAATAATTTGTGTACACTCCGAAGGCCTTATAGTTCTGGGCAACAGAACAGACAATGATTGTCAGTTAAACCTTCTCATTAAAGAAAATAACCTAAAAATATTGTTAACTGTGGCATGTTTTTCAATCATTTTTTTAAGATAGAAAGACAAGGCTGTTTTTTAAAAGAAGAGAAAATCTTGTATCATTAAAAAGTTGACTTTCTTTTTATTTAACATTAAATACAATCTTCAAACAGACATTTGTTTCACTTCCTTCAGCAAAAAGATTTGCCCCGTTGGATAAAAAAAAGAGTAACATATACAAAAAACTGTGTGAACCAGGTAGGAACTTGGATATAAGAATTCAAGTTTCGCCTTCCAAATATACATCTGAACAGCAAGAGCAAAATGAATATAATTGCAATCTGTCTCTGTTGGGTAAAGAATCTGCACTCTTCAAGCCCGCCTGGTGATCTCAATTTGTCCATTGTAGGATGGAACGGGAGAAGGCAGTACCCGTTGGAAAACTGTAAATGAGTTTGTAATTCATTCTGTCTTGGGGAAACTCTCCCTATAATCTTCCTAAAGAGACTTGCAAGGAACAGTGATGACAGTCTACTCCCATTACAGCAGCCTGAGCTGGAACTGAGTGCTGAAGGGAATTATTGGATTCCTTTACTGCAGTGGTTCTCAACCTGTGGGTCCCCAGATGTGTTGGCCTTCAACTCCCAGAAATCCTAACAGCTGGTAAATGGGCTGGGATTTCTGGGAGTTGTAGGTCAAAACACCTGGGGACCCACAGGTTGAGAGCCACTGCTTCAGTACATCGCCATGTATGTTTTGAAGTAGACTGCACAGAAAAACGCACATGCATCTAGGTATGTGCTTGTGGCAATGGGTTCCTGAGGAGATCCTGTGTGTGCATTAGCTCATTAGTGAAATGGGGATGGAAGAAAGAGATGTCAATAGCAACCTGAGCACTCCTTTCAACCATTTCTTTACCCATTGCAAGTCACCGTCACCTGCAGGAATCAAGGATAATGTTTTTTAAAATATTTTGTTGGCTTCAAATGCTTTATAGAGCTGTGCACTTCTTAAGCTATTTGGTAACTGTTTCATAGTCTGCTTCAATATGAAACTAGTTTTAGGGCTGATTTACAGACTCTACCTATCAAGGAACACTTTGCACATGTTCACTTTACTCATTGTCAATTTAGGCTCACTTTTCTCAACTGAAGAGTTCACGCTTTTGGTTGAGAATATCAAGCACTTCGTGACAAAAGATCAGCTAATGCACCTGAACTAGTTTTCTGATTTAGTACTTCTCTTTCAGTGCTTCTACCATCTCCATTGAATATCACCTCCCCTGAAAATCCAATGTTTTAAAAAAAATATTGCATTTAAATTACTCAACAGAGCAGAAAGATAATATATACAAATTGTGTGCTAAGCTTTTTGTTCTTTTTGCATAGTATTACTGTGATTTTAAACTAACATTTGCTATTCTTTCCACTCTTCTGATTGTTTGAAAATAAGCAGTGTATAACATGACCTTGATCAGTCACAAAGTTATGTAAATAGTAGGTCCAAACTAGATATGACATGTAGTCAAGTGTACGTCCCTAACTTGTTTTAAAGCCTAGAACAGTTGATGATAATAATTCATCCCCACCCACAGGCTACTTTCCAAAAGGGATAACCTTGTATTTCCCTACCCCATAATGGTGGGAAAAGGGATCATGAAGAATTTTAAATCCACTGAATGAAAGGTGGCTCTTCCCACCATCAAACTGCTCCATTTGACTAAGATTTTTTTTTTGGGGGGGGGGGGGGGGGGGGGGGGGGGGGGATATAGGCAAAGGCTTTTCACCTCTCATTTGGGCCTACCTAGTAAATTTCCACCAGCAAATGATCACAAACAGTGAATTATCGCAGTGCACTAGATAGAAATATACAGCACATAAGGTTATGGGCAAGATTCTATACAGTTTAGCATACCATAAATATAGCTAACTTAGCTATATTGGATCCTGTATTTACTTGGCCTGTTGCAGAGAGACCCTACACTATGGCGTTGAGCTCCTTTTTTGTGCAACAGTCAATTATTTCCCCTCAAAGAACTCAAAAGTAAGAGAGAAAAGACTGCACATGCCCCTCCAGAACAGGAGTTCTCAACCTGTGGGTCCCCAGATGTTTTGGCCTACAACTCCCAGAAGTCCCAGCCAGTTTGCCAGCTGTTAGGATTTCTGCGAGTTGAAATATCTGGGGACCCACAGGTTGAGAACCACTGCTTTAGAACAACTGGCCGGAACTATTACTTTTGCTCTGGCAAATACACCAATAGGATTTCAGACAATTTCAATCCTGCTTCCATTCAACAAAAGGTAGAACTTTTATGGAGCTCAATAAATACACATACCTTTAATTTTTTAGTTTACCAGTAAATCACACTATTTGTGTTAAATCTTCTGCATACTGTGGATACTGGCAAGGCGCATTTATCTTTTCTTCCTGTGTGTTTCAACTGATACTGCTTTCCGCCATTTAAATAAGGGAAGAATCTAACCTGCTTAAATGTTTAATAATTTCTCAATGTGGAAGGTTTTTCTGAGCAATCTGGAATCATGGTGTTTCAAAACTCTCAACAGTTAAGAACTGAACAACAGAAAGAACACTTTTTGCAATTTTTGTTTAACTGGTAAGTGGTTCAGAAATCAAAGATTTGATTTAAGAGTCTGGTAAATTTACAGACATACACAGATATATATAATTATTACTCTTTACAAACATAAAATAGCATTTTATAAAAGTAAATCACTTTCTTCTCCAATATAAAATTACGGAAATCACAACTGCAACATTCCTATTTGGTAAAGGGTGTAATCCTTACACAGATGAAGATCTTCAATTCCTGTCAAGTTCCTCAATCATTAAAAATAATTGAAGTCAAGAGGAGCAACTGTATCAAAAAAAGAAAAAGAAATCCATGGATACCATGTACACCTTCCAGGCACTCAGAGCAGAGTACTAAAGGAACTGGACATAGTTTTCAGGAATGAGGCCTCTCTTCCCATTAAGAGTTCCTTCAAGCCAGCCAGGTTCTCGTGAATAATGCACTGTAGGTAATAGGAAAAACATATAACATATTCATTAATAATAGTAGTAATATTTACTTCATTTTCCCTAGTTCTGGATCTCAAGGTGGCTAACAAAAATCATCAGATACAGATAAAAGCTCACATTAAAAACTGAATTAAAAGTAATTAAGACATATCAGTTAATTGGCCATTGTGTAACTTTGCTACTTGGGGCAGTATTCAAAGATTAAGGTTCAGTCTATGGATAGCCTTTAACACTTCTTTTTCATCTGAAAAGAAACTTTTGAATCTTCCTTATTTTTCCAGGGCTCTTGCTTTATTAGAAACTTGTCTGAAGCCCATCAACATAAATACCATGGCAATTACATTATAAGGAGTGTATAGATGTGGTTAAGGATTTCATTTTTATTTTTTGCCTTAGGAAAAGCACTGTTCCTGAGTGAGAGAAAAGCTGTTTAATTCATTTCCTGTGAGTCAACTGTCGGCTTAAAATTCTCTCCATCCCTCCAGTGCTTTCCCATATGAAATCTGGACCCTCTCATTCATTTTACTTTCTGGAAGATGGAATTAAAAAAGAACAACAGAGGAGTAGGCAATGGGTCTGCAGACTATAAGAAAAGACCAAAAAATCAAGGCAAAACACATTTTGAAAGGAGCTCCTGACACCTACATAGCTTCAGTTTGATGAGCTTTCAGAAAAAAAGTATCATCTTAGTTTTTTTGGAACTATGAAGCTCTCTTTTCTCCTCCCATCAACTGATTTAATGAATGATAGCCACCAAACAAGCATTTTAAGAGATGGTTTAGTATTGGTAGGAAAACTGAGCATGTGAAACTTGGAGAAATTGCTCAGGTAGGAGAAAGATGACAAATTTGCACACATAGCTCTTAGAAATTAATACCAGGTGGAGGGTATTTTTCCAAGACTTGTATGTGGTTCATAATTATTCTTCGAGATATACAAACACTGACTCCAGCAAATCCTGCTTAACCCCACTTTCTGCTACTTAAAGTTCATCATGAATTAGCCACACATTTTCAAGTCTTTCTTCAGGCAACAAACATAGGAGTTTGCATTTTCAAGCACAATGCTCAACTTTACTCAAATGCTGGGTTCCATGATAGTACAGAAGATTGAAATACTCTACTGCGAGCCTTAAAGAGAGAGACTCCCCGTCCTCTTCTATTTATACCATTACTACTGTTATTACTACCTTCACTTTAAAAGGCTTAGAACCTGGCCATCTGAGAGGAGGGAGGAAAGAGGGATGGAGTCACCTGCGGGCTGATATGGTGGGATATAAATAATGTAAATAAATAAATAAATAAAATCTGTGTCATTGTGATTCTTAATGTTTTTCTGAGACTATTATCATTTGCAGATATATGTGGGAAACAGCTTTCTCCTGTGTTGGTCCCAAATGTAAACAGAATTTCCATCAGAGTCATGATCACTTCTCATTGCTTACAAAAAAGGTGTGACCCATCTCTTCTTACCAGGCTTTTTTTTAAACGCTTTGATATTTACTGAGCATTGTGATAATTTTAGTAGTTTTCTCATTTGTTTTTCATGGTATATGTTCCCAAGGTAGTTTTGAGTACTATTGGATATATAAGCACAAATATAAGGATAGAATCTACTCACTCAGAACAAAGTATGTCAAACATGCAGAAAATGAAAAATAAGAATTTAGTTTTCAGTGCTGTGTTAACATTGCCTGCACACTGCTGGAAGTGAATAATAAGCAAGCACTAGGGCATTATGGGAGACTCCAAGATGAATTAGTTCTTCATTTACATCAGGCATGGGCAAACTTTCTAACTTGGGGGCCATAGGCTAGCACTTGCTGCTGGGGGGACTGGCTGCCAGTGATGGATGGATGGTTGGAAGGGAAGGAAGGAAGGATGAAAGGGAGGAAAGGAAGGATGGGAGGAGAAAGAAAGAGAGAGAGAGGAGGGAGGAAAGAGGGATGGAAGGAGGGAAGGGAAGGAGAAAGGAAATACAAAAAGGAAGGAAGGAAGGAGAAAGGGAGACATGGAGGGGAGGAAGGAAGAATGAAAGGGTGGGAAGGATGCAAGAAGAAAGAGGGAAGGGAAGGAGGAAGGAAAGAGAGAAGGAAGGAAGGACGAAAAGGTGGAAGGGAAGGAGAAAAAGAGAAGTAAGGAGGAACAAAAGAGAGAAGGATAGGATGGTGAGAGAGAGGAGGGCCCGAGAAAAGAGCCCAAGGGGCCGCATTCGGTCCCTGGGCCTGGGATTCCCTATACCTGGTTTACATGGATACTAGGGTAGAGTGGGTAGAAGGCACAGAAATGCTTGAATAGAACTGAAGGAAACAGGGCCTTGGAATTATAGGAGTTTACAGCTTCTCCCAAAGAGATTTGGAGCAGACTCGCACAATTTAAGTTATTAAGAAACATATAAACATAATATTTCCACAGCAAACACTGTGGAAAGTGGGTATTAAAGTGTGGGTATTTGGTAGAAAGACAGTGAAGCAATTATCTCTCTCCTTGAAGATAGACTATAACTAGAAATATGAAAATAACACTATAACAAGTTACCCAGAAGCTTAAAGAAAAATCATGGTTCTGTGTTTTGTAGCTCTTCACTTTCAAGTGCAAGTGCCAGGCAACTAAAGAGCAGTGCTGCTTATGCATATATTTTATGAGAAAAAAAATCAAGATGACAGATACGTACATTAATGCACACAGCTTCAAACTCAAAATGGATCTCTACAATGATGTCAAAAATTGAAAATGCATCTCATAATAATGGAAGGGTTTGATTAAACTCTGCCAAAAAGGAACACATAGAAAAATACCCTTCTCAATTGAAAACTTTAAACTACTGTTAATAATTAGCATGCCATTTATCCTTTTGTCATTTTCACTTCATGATTATAGGGTATGAGCACATTTCAAATGGAATGCTCTAACATCACCACAAATGGTCTCCAAAATGTTTCTTCACAGCAGCCATGACTCTACCACACAGAGAAAGAGGGAGAGAGGGAGGGGGGTGTATTCATTACATGAACTTCAATTTCTCTATGTCAGTCGAAATATAAAAGTTAGCCTAATTACTATCATATTTTAAGGCTTAAAATAGAGATGACCCAGCCCAATTCGGACGGAGAAGTTTTGATAAAGCTATACCAGACCATTTTCCATCTTTTATATTAATTATTTACACTCACTACCGATATGTACTGTATTTCTTCAACTCTAAGATACCATTGATTATAAGACCACCAACAGAAAAAAGCTTTATTTATATATTTAAAAAGTGCCTGCAGTTCTAAAACACACCCCACTTTTAGTGATGTTTATATGGGGGGAAAGTGTGTGTAATAATCGAAGAAACATGGGAGGAGCATCACTACACATGCTCTACACGGCCCCTGGTGACATAGCAGGTTAAACCGCTGAACTTACTGACTGAAAGGTCAGCGGTTCAAATCCAGGAGGCGGGGTGAGCTCCTACTGATGGCACCAGCTCCTGCCAATCTAGCAGTTCAACAACATGAAAATGTGAGTAGATCAACAGGCACTGCTTCTGTGGGAAGGTAATGGTGCTCAATGCAGTCATGCTGGCCACATGACCTTGAAGGCTCTACGGACATTGCCAGCTCTTCAGCTTAGAAATGGAGATGAGCACCACCCCCCAGAGTTGGGCACGACTAGACTTAATGTCAGGGGAAACCTTTACCTTTACCTATCATTACACATGGCACATTGCAGTCAAAGTAGAAATCAAGTGCTGTACACAAGAAGCTAACACTCAAAGTAAGGAGCAGCAACCAAGAAGAAAGTACTAAGGGACAATGATATATTCAATTTATTATTATATACTTAGGTGAAGCTTCAGTAAGAGAAGAGAATGCAAGCAAACACTGTTACTGGAGGTTTCACTTCAGATATCTGAGGAGCACCCACCTACATTATCAATCTCTAGATCACCATTTTGGTTCAGTTCAGAGCCAGTTCTGTCTCATGGAAGTTTTCAACTTTTGCATACTTTTAACTTGGCATAAAGGCTATTGTTAACCCTGACTAGAGTGAAGCCGTTAAATAGATCAGGTAAAATACTGTAGCAGTTGCAACAACAATAACAAATTTTATTCTGCTGGATATACCTATGTAGTAGCAACTTGCCTTAAAAGAAATGATTCAGTGGGTCTAAATTAATTTGAATTAGCTAACAGGGTTCCAGCACTTGAAATATTTTTCTGACTTTTTTTACAGCATTTTATGCCTACCTATTTTTCTTGTGATCTTGATTTTTCAAATCAACTTATTATTACCAGACTTTGTTGGTTCCTGTATTTTCACTGTTTAAAATGTATTATTACTGAATCATATATTTTTTCTCTTTTGTTCCCAATCCTGGAAAGAAACTGTGAATCTCAGATTGAACAATCCAAATCTGTTGCTAACCTCATCAGACCTTTCAAATTCCTAAGTTACATGTTTAGAAATTTCACTTGGATATATTCAAATGCAAATCTCATCCTATATACATAGGCCTAACTGTAAAAGTGCATGCAGTATATGCACTACAGGAACAATATATGCTCTACAAATCTAGAAAACCTGTGGAGAGAACCTCTTGGCAAAAGAGAAACCTCCATCTTCTCACCTAGGCAAATACAAACAGTCTTGGAGGCAAGAAAGATATGTATCTCTTTACTATGAAGTTTCCATCAGCAAGTTTTGTCCTTGGAATAAAACGCTTCGAAAAACCACTTAATTAGCCACTGAAGGAAAGTGTAATGACTGGACCTACTGTTGTTCTTCCTCTTCTGTAGAATCATGCTAAACCAAGAACTCTGAGATCCAATCAACAGACTTTGGATCTACTTCAGTATCCCAAAGTATTCTGTATTTACTTTGCCACCATAACTCAAGTCATCTATGGCATATTTTTCCTTACTAGAAAAAGTATGTGAAAATACCTTAGTTTTAAGGAAAATACTGGTATCTTAAATTTGGGGGGGCATGATGATGCAGTGGGTTAA